TAGTTACCATGTTTTCAGCATAGACCTTGGAATCTTTTTAAGGAGAAAGGTGGGAAATAAATAAATAAATATCTTTAGAATTTGGATGTGGGGTGATCATTGTCATTCATCTCCCCTATTCCAGTTTTTTTCTGGATAAATAAATAAATAAATTTCTACCTGCCTTCCATATACATATTAAAAATGGAAGGAGAATCTTAGGAAAAAAAGAAGCAGTCATCCTAGCCCAGCTCTAACGTAGTTTGACATAGAGGGTTTCAAATCTGGACTTTTAAAGAATTTTTAGAGCTATGGATGTGGGTAGATCTGTCAGTCCCCCCCCCCTTCTCAGAATATGAAGAAATGTGATAATTTTGGCAGTTTCTTATAGAAAATTAACTGGTATCTTTTCCTATCCCTACTATCAGTGTCATATATTTACAGAGAAGATGTTAGAAAATGAATGAGTTAAAATACATGGTAAAGGTAAAGGTAAAGGTTCCCCTTGACAATTTTTGTCCAGTCGTGTTCGACTCTAGGGGGCGGTGCTCATCCCCGTTTCCAAGCCGTAGAGCCAGCGTTTTGTCCGAAGACAATCTTCCGTGGTCACATGGCCAGTGCGACTTAGACACGGAACGCTGTTACCTTCCCATCGAGGTGGTCCCTATTGATCTACTTGCATTTGCATGCTTTCGAACCGCTAGGTTGGCAGGAGCTGGGACAAGCGACGGAGCTCACTCCGTCGTGTGGATTCGATCTTACGACTGCTGGTCTTCTGACCCTGCAGCACAGGCTTCTGCGGTTTAGCCCACAGCGCCACCATGTCCCTGCTTAAAATACATGACACTACCCCAAAGTGCAACATGGAACCTGCTATTTTCCTTTCCCCAACTCATAATTCAGGTACCTTACTGTATCTTGTGTAGCATTCCAAAGTCATTTTCAGGATTTTTCCTACTGTTATGCTGAGTGAGATTGCCACCTCAGATGCTAAATATGGAGGCAAAGAGTCAGAAGACAACCGTATGGGCCTCAAATATCTGGCTCTGTGCCCCCAAATTATTGCTCTATTATCCTACTTGAAGACTGGATGTATATATACATACACACCGTACTTTCCCAAAATATATATATAGGCATGATATGTTGCATTTCATGGGCCTCAAATATCTGGCTCTGTGCCCCCAAAGTATTACTCTCAAGTACGGCAGAGGCATCCAGTCTTCAAGTAGGATTCAGCTGCCAGTTTGATTACACCAGTAGCTATTTCTGTGGCGCATGAAATGCAACATATCATGCCTATATATATACCGTACTTTCCCAAAACTCAGATTTATGAAATGTACCTGCGAGAAAGTTATGTTACAGTTTGTATGTGCTCTTTTTAGGTTTAAAAATTCTAACCTGCCTTTCAGGGCCTGGTCCCACGAAGTGCCCTACCATATCACAAGTTTTAGGGTTCAAATGTTTGTACAAATTTGCATAGCTGTGCACATCTTCATGTCATATTCCATCTTGCTAGGCACTTAAGTGTGACGACAGCCCAGTCATTTTAATTGACTGTAATTGGTACTCTTAGGGACTCTGACATGAACAGAGTGACTCCTTAAAAGATGTGTGAGTGTTTTTCAGAAGCTGTCCTGAAAAGCTGCAGCGAGTAAAATGAAGGCCGATTTAAAAAGTGAAGTGTAAATCCCCAAATTTATAATTTAAATGAAAGCCCAACTTGATTAGAATGCATCTTTCATTTTCAAATAGGTTTCTTCCACTTTGCATACAGCACTTGCCAGTGTTCACAAATGACTCATTTCCACCTAAGTGTTATTAGAAGGAAAGTAGACAGAATGCTCAAATGTAGGCAGATCTTTACTAGGCAGAGAGCACTCCCCACACACCCCATAATTTTGAAGTGAGGCACTTTTCCACTTTGGTCCATGAGCCTTCTTCCATGCACTCAACACAGGTCTGCTGCTCAGAATGGCAGCTTTTCATCAGGTTTTCTCTTTCCCTGTAGTGGCTTATGTAATAATAATTTAGTGCAGTTCAGTCAATTCCAATTTATGACGACTGTTTCCAGGGTTTTCTGGGTCTACAGTATTCAGAAGGGGTCTACTGTTGCCATCTTTTGGGGGCTTTCTGAAAATGTGCAGCTTACCCAAAGCTACACAGACTGGCTCGTCTCCTGGAAGGCAGAGTGGAAAACTGAACTGATCTCTTGCTCTGAAGACAGGTACCCAACTCACTGAGTTATCCATCCATCTATATAGAAATCTATATAGTGTTCCACTACATTTCTCTTTGCTTTGGGCCACCACTGACTATCTAGGGAAATTTCTAATGTGATCATGTCAAGAGAAAATTCCTTACAGGAAGAGATGGGAGCCCTTGATACATGACTGTCATTTTGGGTGGTAGGCAGTTGTTGGCCAAGTATCACAACCTATTTCTGCAGTGTTTCTCTGGATTGCACTAGTGAAAAATGTCCAGAAATTAGTAATATTTTCATGGTCTTGCTTTTGTAATTATATGAGCAGCAGTACCAGTAGGAGCCACTGATGCTACCATAGGCAATTTGTAACATCTTCTGATTTGCATTGTGTCATGTTGTGAATGAGTATAATGTGAAACATAATGACTAGCTAATAATTGAGAGAGACAGAGATCATTGAAAGTTTTTCCATTCAATCTGGGCTGCTTGAATTACACATACAGGGGGAAGAAGCTATGTTAATTCATTATTACAGACAGCTCTAATTAATATGAAGAGATGGCTAGTATTCTTATGGTAAGCAGACAGTGTATAAACAGTGAGAACATTTTCAATTGATTGGAGTAGAACCTGAAAGAATTTTGGAAATAGACATGGTTAAAGCTACCAAAATTACTATTATTTCATAAAGGGAGGAAGCAGGTATAAGGACAGTTATGGAGATTCATGGGAAGTGTTTAGAGGAAAGCAGAAATATGTCTACGGGGAAATTGATGATAGATGCTAAAAAGGCATCACAGCCAAAGGGAGTGCAGTTGGCAGCTATGGACACATGAAAGATTCTTTTGGGGGATATTAAGTAAGGACCTCAACATTTAATAGCTCTGCTGGATCAGATCAGGAGCCCATCCAGTCTCATGTTCTGTTTCCTCCTTTGCAAAGTGCATAGGCATAGTATGAGCCCAACAGCCCTCTCATGTTGTGGTCAGTTACTTCTGAACCAGAGGATTTGACCTGCAGGCTTGGGTATTCTGGGAAATGTAGCCTAATCTGAATGTAGATGTTCTTCTTTAGTTCCAAGGCTAAGAACCACACAAAAAAAATCCTTAGCTGAAGATGTGGCCCAATAGGTCTAGACAACATGATATACAATCTGAACAGACACCCCAAAACACACTTTGCACCCAGGATTTTTCCCCCAAGGCACACACATAGAAGCTGATATGGAAATCAGCAGTCTCAAAAGTTCAGCTTTAGAAAAACAACAGCAAAACACAAGCTATGTTCTAAACCAAGAACAACTTGCTGAGATTTGAATGAGAAGCAGCGAGGTATTGAGGCAGTAGACAAAGAAAGAGGCTTTTGCTTAGCTAAGCAGACAGGGCATTAAACTGCTAACAAGTTAGACATTTAACCTCTCAAAGAGCCTTGAAAGGAAGAATTCAGCATCTCCTTACTATTGGAGTGCATTGTTCTTCTTCAGAATAAGCAACCAAACAACTACACTTATGTATGTCTTACTGATTGGCTCTCACACATGGATGTATTTTTTATTAATGTAAGAGTGTTAGAGTTATTTTGTTCTGTTCTGTTCTGCAAGTAGTACAGTCTCCGTTATAACTCCAAATAGCCCTTGCAATAGTGAAGTTGTGGAAGCTTTATAAAACCTGCTAGCTGTTTTTATCACCGTGGCTGCTTGTCTTTATTTAGAAACTGACACCTGAAGCACACTTTATCAAAATGTGTACAGTTAAGCCTATCTCTTGTGTTTTATCCTCCCCTTAAAGGAATAAGTACTTATCTGTTTGTGATTCTTTTGTTAATCCCATGTATATTCACTAGGACACCAGAAACAGTATGAATATTCATTTCAACAACACTTGGGAGGTGTTGATTTTATTATACAAGTCCATAGTAATCCACATAGTAAACTCTCTTCTCTGAGGCAAATGATGTTCTCAAAATTCTGTGTTCACTTCTGAAATTGCCGGCTGGTGGATGATGTAGGATAGGATTTCCAGGACCATCTCTTTATTGAAAATGCTTTCCACTTTCAATAAATGTGTGTAAGGGCTGTTCAGCCTAGATCTGCTTTAAAGATAGGGAACCCTAAGAAGAGGGACCCTGTAGGAATAGAGACCTTAAATTTGTACTCCCACAGCGAGTACCTTGATAGCAGACTCAGCAAGCACACAGATCTCATGATCACAGGCCGGTGTACTTTATCCACTGAAGTTGTGGGGATTCTGTTTAAATTAGAAAAATCACTTCTGATTTTGCATCTTCAGCATATACCATTTTATGCAATTAAGTTCGTTTGTCTTCCTTATGATGCTGCCTATCCTTGTTTATGATGATGTGCAGGTGGCTACCCTACACTGACAGTTTTCTCAGACTACCATTCTCCTCTCCTGCCATTGGTGGACTCGGCAGTCAAGTGCCACCAATCACAATAGACCATTCTCAACAAGGAAGAGTGGAAGTGTTTTAATGTACACTGAAGAAAGGCAAAATGAATTTCAATAGGAAAGAAGTCTAAGTGGATTGTTTGCCACTAGGTGTAAAAGCTTTTAAAGACAATACATTATGTGCCTCATGCTGTTATGCAGTAAAATCTAGAAATGTTTGTATATTTCTCTGAAGTGTCTGCTATGTTATTAATTTGTCTTATTCACATTTTTTAATCCAGGGTGACACTTGGACCTTATTTGCTCTAACAGAATCTTATATTTAGCCATAAAATCTGCATTTTTAACATTAACACAACTGGATCAACTAACTCTTTGCTTTCTCTGCTTTTCTTGTTTTGTAGCTGGTGCCACATATATTTTTGGTAAGAGTGGAGGCCTCATTCTGTACACTTGGCCAGCAAATGACAGACCTAGCACGAGAACAGACCGCCTGGCCGTTGGGTTCAGCACAACAGTAAAAGATGGTATCTTGGTTCGGATTGACAGTGCCCCTGGTCTCACTGACTTTCTGCAGCTTCACATAGTGAGTACAAAACTCCTCTTGTTCGTCTTTATTTCAGTTCACTTCCATTGCCTACAAACTATGAGCTTTTAAAAAAGGACAATAAACTTCGAGTTGGTTACATGTCAAAGCCACGTGATTGTATACGATACCTCGTCATGAAGAGAATTTGGTGACTGGATGGAATGAAATAATGTCATTTCCAGAGTTTCTGTGATGTTTCACAATATGTCATAGTTTTCTATAGTCCTAGATTTCTGTAGGTGTGTCAGGGAGGCTATTCTGGTTTGGATTTTTAAAAAAAAGATATTAAACATCTTTTCACAGTTCAGTGCTTACTGCACAAGAATGTTACATATTTTAGGGCACAAACAAATGGTATCTGTAGAGTTGATAGGTGTGTTTCTTAGCATTGTTGCCCATACATTGATTGCGTAAAGCAAGTAATTAGAAATATCTAAATGTAGCTGAATTTAATTAAAATGTCAAGTGCTTCTTCTCTTTTGACTTCCAGGTGACCTAAAATGGTATTGATACAAAATCCTGACTTTGTAATGTCTAGGTTGCCCCTACCAGTAGTAGAACTAGGTTGCTTGTTTTTATTATTTATTCAGTGAGAATGACTTATCCTACTCTAGGAAAATTAGGGTAGTTATGAAAAATAGGGTCTTATATGTAACAAAATATAATGTCATCTTGGATGAGAAATCTTGCTGGGTGCTACATAGTGAGGTGCATGTCTGAGCAGTGAGTTCACAGTATAGCATCTTAGTTGGGACAACCTCACTATTAATTTGCAACCTTATACATGTCTACTGAGATGTAGGCTCTGAGATGTAGGCTCCACTGAACACAGTGGGATCTATTTCTAAGCAAGCATGTGTAAAATTAAAGTCCTGATAGATTTTATCATATAGAAAACCAGTAGAAGTTACTGTCTAAGGAGAACTGGTCTGTCTAGCCTTAGTCACGGTGCACTGTCACAGATGCCTCCAGAAGAAGGGAGTAGAAAACAACTTCTAAATACAGTGTGGGTATAAAACTCTGGAAGAGTTGCCATAAGTTGGAAATGATAGCATGCAATTAGTAGCAGTATTATCATGATAAAGTGCTATTAGACTCTCCAGTTGTTCACAGTTGTACAATCAGCATGCAGTGTTGAGGTTCCCTATAAAACTGAAGACCACAAGTGAATCCTCACAAGTTTTCACTTCTTGTGCTATCTAAATATACAGCATATGCTTCTATTTTTAAGAAGTCCATACAAGGTATCAGCCACTTCGCCCCCCCCCACCTCTGTTGAGATGAGTTCAACCTCATGTCAGACATATCTCTTGGTAACCTCTACACTGACATCTTACAGGCAGTTCATAGGAATCACAGGACATTTATTACCACATAATTTTCCTATCTGCATACCAAGTGAGGGGAATACAAAAAGGGTATCTTACTGATTTCTGTTGTGAATGTAATTTATGGAAAATCCATTTGAAATCATTTTTTAATTATGAGCCCTTTAGACACTCTGGAGATTAATGTGCTTAGGCATCTGTTTTGTATGACAAGAATCTATAACCTCTGAAACCTTTTCCCTCCTGATTTACCATGCAGATGTAAGTGAGCTGGCAGCTCAGGCAAAATGGATTGCACACCCTCCAGAAGGACTCGGATCATGAATTTTCAGACATTTATATTGAACCTATAAGTCTATATGTGTGTAGAAGGGTGAGAGAGTTGTAGTAGAGTGCTTATTGTCCTGGAAACGATTTTGTGATATACCTGGAATGCACACCTATTAAGGATAATGAAGGTGTCCTGCATGGTTTTAAGTGGTCCAAAACCTTCCACGCCAAGTGTTCATCCTATCCCTCACCACAAGTGCTTCCATGTGATTTACAACATGCAAAAATGCTCATGGAGAGTAAATAGAGTGATTGGGACAGCTGGGGCTTATGATGGATATTGCGCAGCTGATGTCTGCAGGGAGAGATAAATCACTTGCATGCCACTGGAGGTTTATTTTCTTGTTTTTCGTTGGGGCATTCATTGAACACTCTATCCTATTCTCTGTAGAGTTATGGAGGCAGTGGGTTGGCCTTAATTCCACAGATAGCTTGGGAGGAAAAGTGAGACATGGTGATGGGCCATAACAACATTACGAATTTTCATTTCCCATATGTATCTAAGCAAAGTTTCTAGAATGACTGGGGCAAAGCTAGGCAAAGTGTGGCTTTCCAGATGTTGCTGGATTGGTTCTCCCAGGATTCATCATCAATGTCTTTATTGGCTTGGGCTAATGGGGGTTGCAGTCCCACAACATCTGGAGGGCTGCACTTAGCTCACTTGCTCAAGGGTGACCAGAGACAAAGGAGGACTGGGCTCCTAGAGTTTACAGAGCAAATTTGAGAGGGATGGTGAGAAAAACATTGGTGGAAGTTTATTGTCTCAATAGGAGCTCATTTTTGCCACCCCTAGCAACATCTGTGATACTGGGATCAGGTGAAGCCATGTCTGGAACTAAGTTTGGAAAGTTTCTTTCTTTCTTTCTTTCTTTCTTTCTTTCTTTTTTCTTTCTTTCTTTCTTTCTTTCTTTCTTTCTTTCTTTCTTTCTTTCTTTTTTGCCTGCTGGAATCCCCCAGGGAACACAGCCAGGGAGGAAACATACTGGCTGGAGACGTCATCTAAAAAATAATCTTTCCCCATCTTTGTTCTGAAAGCAGAGGTAGAAATGTTACCAATAAAAATAAATGCCAGAGTTTGCTTCCAAGGAAATACTGTAAAGATTTCTAGGAACTGTTGGCTAATCTTTCTTTCTTTAGGGAATTGCTCACGAAAAGCCAATAATCATCGGCTGCTGTTTGATCAATGGAAATTAGTTAGTTGTTTTCATATAGGGCAGACCAGTATCATCATTTTCTGAAAAAAGAACAACTTGTGGCACATTTAAAATGAAAATGTTTTACATGGCATAAGCTTTTGTAGACTGCAGCCCACTTTATCACATGCTGTGATGAAGTGATGAATTAAGTTCTACCTCCTAGTAGGAGCACTTGCTGTTTACTTCCTTTTATGGCCTATCTGTAAATAGAGTGAAAGATGCAAAGATGACATAATTCTCTTTGGCAAACTGATATATCTGCCCCTCCATTCCTGCAAGGCAAAGTAAGCTGCAAGGCATAGTGTGCCCACATGAAACAGAGGATGGACTTCCTCTTTTATTAATAACTCTCCAGAAATTGAAATTTCAATAGGTGTTGCTTAAAGGACAGGGTGGGCCTATTAAACTTCCTCTTCCACAACACTGTTAAATGTATGAGGTCCTTGTCCTTCATTTCATGGGACTATCCTGACAAAATCACCATTTGTCAACTCCTCAGGGGTAGTACTCAGCATCACTAACTTTGTCAGTTATGTTTGTGCTTTAAGACTGCAAGAGTTGACTAGGAACACTTGTTAGTGAATCTAAGCCAGACTGTGACTAAGAATGGAGATACACCACATTTTTTTTTAAAAAAAAATGCATCAGCCAGAATCTTATTGACAATTTACATATTCGTAAGTGAAATTGCATACGTTTTCCCAGCAAACTGTTGCCAAATAATGAGGCACTGATTGTATTCCTGGTCACGTGATGACCCTGTGACTAGAAATGTGATTCATATTTTGTTAATTAGCAGCAATCTGCCACTGCAACTTACATAATTTCATTCAAGCACACATGTAGTCACCAATGCATCCCGAGTAGAGAAACTGTTAATATTCTGTAAGCATAGCAACAGGCTACATAATGTCAAAATTAAGAACAGACCCAACATAAGGGAGTTCCTGGGATACCTACTTTTAATAAATGTGGCATTCAGGGAAAACTCCACACTGTTGATTATGAATACTGTGTGTTTGGTCCTTGAGTTGAAAAGCATTTCCTCATGGTGCAGTGGTTAAACTGCTGTATTGCAGCCAAAACTGTGCTCACAACCTGAGGTTCAATCCCAGGTAGCCGGCTCAAGGTTGACTCAGCCTTCTATCCTTCCGAGGTCGGTAAAATGAGTACCCAGCTCATAGGGGGAGGGGCAATGTGTAGCTTGCATAATTAATTTTGTAAACCGCCCAGAAGGTGCTTGAAGTGCTATGGGGTGGTATATAAGCAGCACGCTTTTATTCCAGCTCATTACTTAGTAATGTTCAGAGAATCAATTTGATTTTGCCATCTTCAATTTATGGTAGTGTTTCCACCTTCTCCTCCTGCCTTGGGCTTGCCCATATGCCTTCAGAATCAACTTGATACTGAGAAAATTAGCAGTAGATGTTCCACCTTGCAAAGAAATAAGATTGGGAATGGGTTGTACCAAGCCTATGTGCCTACTTCCCCACTCATTTTATTCTGTATATCTGAAGCCGTTATGCTGCATCAAATTCTCTCTTCTTGACCCTTCAAACAATCCTCAATCCTATCTTTGTTGCTGTTGATACACCTGGTGTATAGCTCAGTGCAGCAGTGCAAGAAATAACTCTGTGATGCCCCGTAGCTAAAGATGATGAATTTCTGATCCCCAGCTGCATTCAACCAGCATGGAGGCTCAATGCATTGATATAGGGATTCATTAACCACCCACTCAGCTGACATCATCTGCTTAAGTCCTTGTGTTTTCAATTGCTGAATGTTGAAAGCTACTAAATGCTTCTTTGATGAATATATAGCAAAATACATTCTGAGGCTATATTGTGACCAAAGGCGAGAGTGATCAGCTGGACTGGCAGTTTGTGTGAGAGTGATGCCTTCTTTTGACAATTCTTTGTAATTTAGAATAAGTGAAATAGAAATTGCTGGAGGGATGTGAAGTTTTCAGAATGGTAGCTTTGTTAATCTGTTGCAGGAAAAACAACAGAGAGTTTTGTAGCACTGTACAGATTAAACAGATTAAAAAGTTTTATTCGGCAGCTTTTGTTGAATGTAGCCTGTTTCTACAGACATAACAAGAACATTTGAATAACGCAAGATCCGGTAGCGGGGCTGTAATCCA